AACCAATTAAATTCCAATATTCCCACAAAACAAAAATTACACCCCAAAAAGCGTTTTTTTTTTCAAGTCTGATTGCAACCATTTTTCAAGTGACAACCTCAACTTTCTCGGGCACTTAGGACCATTTAGTTTTTAGCCATTCTCAAAGACCCAGGGAGTTCATCCTCAGGCAACGATCTACTAGTAAACAGTCTCACCATTTTGGGGGTCAAACAATCTCCTTTTTCAAAAGACACGGGGGAGGGGCAGTTTTAATGCTAATGCTTAGTGGTCTGCACCCTGAATCATCAATAATTTGGAAAACTGCATAACCGTACGGGCGGATCCAGGATTTTGTGCTGAGGATTGAATTTTTTAGCATGGTGGGTTGTTGCAGTTATCGAAACCATAATTTAATATCATCGTTTTGTCCTTAACGCACAATTAAGAGCCCTGCAGGGTAAAGTTTTTTTTTTTTTGGGGGGGGGGGAGTTGCGACCTTCAAAGGTAGGCCGCTTGACTTGAAAATGGGCCCGGGGACGGATCACACTTAGCCCCCCCCCCCATCTAGTTGGCCAGCGCCCTCTTCCAGGCTTACGTAACCAGGCCTGAGCGTGTTACTTAATTTGTTTAGAGTCGGTGTTTTACTTGGAACTTCAACAGCCGATCTTGCACTGCATACAAGAACGCCGATAGGTAGGATTGTTCTATATCACTAAATATTTGCACAACTGACGAAAATCAGAGACAGGGAATGCCATAGTAGGATTCTGTCGGAAACTGTCTTTGAGCTTCGCAGCCCTGTGCCACGAGTTGTGCAAAATGAACTGTAAGATTGCAGGAGCCAACTACCCCCAGGACTGCGGGGTCGGTCCGACGTCCGCTCGGACCCCACAGTTCTGGGGGTAAGGTTATTGGTGCCTAAGCCGGGAGGCCGTTTCCGTTATTTTAATTTACTGAGCCTATAGTGAATACACGTGTTGCTTTTTTGACTTAGGTCACTTGTGTTTCAAACTTTGAGAAGAATTTTCAAAAACAAACTTGTTGACGGATAATTGGCACAATCTGAAAGTTCGTTTTTCTGGATATTCAAAATGGAAAGTTTTTCCCGATGTCATCATGTATGATGTACATCTTATTCAACTGACTGAAGACCACCTGTTCCCCTCTTCATTTCTTAGTGATGGCGAAGGGTGAGAAGGGAAGTAACCAGACAACCAAAAAAGGGAAGAGAAAACATGAAGATTCCTCATCATCAGAGGCAGCAGCCCTACCCTCTAAGAAACTGAAAATTGAAACCAAGACATCGGATACCACAAAGCAAGAGGTAAATGTCAAATTCTAAAATTAAAGTTTTTCTTAACAAGTTAACGACAGAAGTAGTCACATCCTGTTGAGAATTTTTTTGGCAATGTTCATCAGTTGAATTTGGTTTTGGAGAAAATATGTTATTCCGTAGCTTCACATTAATTCATGTAGTCAACTGAGTGAAATGAACATGATTTGAAGATTTTATCTCTGTGAACTGATAAGTAATTTGTGAAGAATTTCAATTTTGCAGGTGAAGTCTACCTCGGACGCACAAGGCATCATGGAGAAATTAATGGCACTTCGTCTTCGTACAGCTAGCTCAATCTCAGCTTTCAAGTTCAATAAGAAAAGAGTGAGGGTTCTGTCAGGAGTTCAGGATGTACCTGAGGGTTGCCAAGGAATCCTGTACTGGATGTCCAGAGATCAGCGAGTACAGGGTCGGTCTAGACTTCCATCGGTTTCAAAATTGAGGATCCAAATTTTGAGGGAGTGTTTTGCTAATTTGCGGAAGTTTATTCTTCCCTTTCTTCAAATATTCCAGACGAGAAACTTTTTATTTATAACCTTGCCTTAACTCTGAGCTCAGGTTAACTTGTGTGATTTGATACTGTTTCACGATATTGTTCAAAGCTTTGTTTTAGAATGGGGCTGTTTTCTGCAATTTTTTTTCAGATAACTGGGGTCTGTTGTACGCTCAACGTCTTGCCATGAAATTGACTGTCCCACTCCACGTCTGCTTCTGCCTGGTGCCCAAATTCCTGGACGCAACCATCCGTCATTTTGGGTTCATGCTGAAAGGCCTTGCTGAAGTTGAGCAGGTAGTGCATGCTGCCACTTCCTAGAGATGTGTGTGCTAGTCCTAGCCACAGCCAGATGATTCCTACTGGACTTAACATTTATTTAGATATAAATCAGACGACAGTCAGTGCGTTGTTGATGTCATGGTTTTGGCATAGCTTTAACTTAAGGTATTTAAATATCAATTTGAAAGGAATGGGCTCTGTGTTTCCCTTGTTGGCAATCTTTAATGAAGGCATGAGCACCATGATGTGTATTCATTTATGTTATTAGGGAATGCGACTGAGTCTCGTTATGCATGCATAATTTGAGGTCAGGTCTCACATGTGCATGGTGCTGAGCAGATGTTTATCCAATTACACCCATGAAAATACTTGATGACGAGAAAAATCACCTTCCCAAAGTTTGGAATTTTATCCATATTGAAATATTTTTCCAAATGCTTTATAATTTAGCCTAAAAAAGGGTACTGCATCCCCACTTAGAGATCACTGGAAAGAAAAAGTCTAATTTGTATTAATTTAGGAATGGTTGAATAATTTGATCTGTTTATTTTTCAGGAACTTAAAGAGCTTGACATACCATTCCATCTTCTAACTGGTGAAGCCACAGATGTGCTGCCTAGTTTTGTCAAAGATCATGGCATCGGTGGCATGGTGACAGATTTCTCCCCCCTGAGGGTTCCATCCAAGTGGGTCAAGGAAGCCACAGACAGTCTGCCACATATTCCTGTCTGTCAGGTCATTGCTTGATCTCTCAATGTGAATTTAGGAAAACTGTCTTTGTCATATTTGTTATATCTGCCAATCCTAAGTAAAACAGAAAGTGTCAGAAGCTGACACCGAGCCTGTTTCAAAATCTCAACCCCGTTCCCATCTTTGGCTTCATCTTAAGCACAGATATCGGTTCCAGACGAAGAATTTTGTCGCCAAAGAACACTCCAATTGACGTCAGCATTGCACACATCAGACAACTTGATGGTTCTATTGATTTGGGAAGAGCGTTTTAACTTTAGGGACTAACCCAGGAAACTGAAGTGAAAAAAGATCGGGAAGCTGAGATTTGAAAAACTCTGTAGGAGTTACAGGACTCTGTTGGATTCAGGACTGCTCCATAGTTACTATTACTTTGATTGATGACCCATTTTGTTAACAAAGAATTTGCATGGATCCAGGAAGTTTCTAGGAAGTTGACATCAAAATGCTGTACACTGATGTGGCTATGGCGTTGATGACTCGTCATTTAGGTTTGAGCTTTGTCAGGGATCATCTCGTATGATTTTTGGTCTGACAGGTGGATGCACATAACATAGTACCATGTTGGGAGGCCTCACCAAAGCTGGAGTATGGCGCTCGTACCATTAGACCCAAGATAACCAAACTGCTATCGACATTCTTGACGGAATTCCCTCCCGTTGTCAAACATCCACACAAGGCAAAGACAATGCCTGAGGTTGGTGACTTCCACGTAACTTAATACAATTACTGCAGTTGACAGAACTGTAGCATTAGACCTTAATACAAAAGAGAAAGCTTACCCAAGTAATTTCTTTCACATTAGGTACACATTTCATTTTTGGTTCAGTAATGAAATCAAGGCAGTTGTCACCCGGTGTAAAAAAGTATTTCTCATTCTTGTCCATGAAACACATCATAAACTTGCTCCCTAATATGGCCTTGTTCCCACAGCCAGTGGATTGGGAAGCTGCAGATTGCTCCCTTGATGTCGACCGTACGGTTGAAGAGGTTTCGTGGGCTAAACCAGGCACCAAAGCAGGCCTGCTGATGCTGGAAGAATTCTGCCTCCAACGACTCAAGTACTTTGAGGCAGACAGGAACAACCCCAACAAGACGGCACTGAGTAATCTCTCACCCTGGATTCACTTTGGTATGTGTCGCAACAAGGTTCTGTGTGCAGCTGCAGAAAATGTCGCTTAGCAGATTTTGGGGCTGAGGAATAATAGGCAAAAGATGTGCTGCAAGGAGAATCCTGCTTCCTGATTATCAAGATATATTTTTGTCCTTACCACTTTCCTCCATTTAAGTTACACGCAGCTGAAATAAGCTGTCTTTTCACCAGTTGCACCAGGAAGTGACCAGTCTCTCGCAGCACTTCAAAGTGACCGTAATTCGTGCATGAGACTTTGTGCATAAGATAGGTCAGTTCACTGTACGACTGATGATGTTTTGTCATATTTTTCATACAGTGACGATCTGCATGCACAAGTGTTGGCATACCTGCCATAACAGAAGTGTCCCACCATTACCACTGCAGGTTGCCTATTCGTGCAGTCAGTAACATGGTGAAAGACTTGCCCTGTGATTGTTGCATATTATCTGTGCAGGTCAGGTATCTGCTCAGCGAGCCGCTCTGGTTGTGCGTGGTCATCGCAGCAAGTATAGCAAGTCAGTAGAATCGTACATTGAGGAGAGCGTCGTTCGACGTGAGCTGGCGGACAATTTCTGCTTCTACAATGAGCACTATGATTCTATTGAAGGTACTTGCTTAAACAATTGCCTTGCCGTATGACACACTGAAGTATGTTTGCTGTGTTCAATTAAACTTCCAAAGGTGCATTTACTTGAGCCTCAAGGTGAAACTTCATTTCTTTTGTACATTGTCTGAGACTAGCAATATGAGTTCTCCTCTGATTGGTCTTAACTGGGAAAGAAGATAATCGATGAACTGAAGAGTACAGAATTGAATATTGGTCGCTCATAACTGGAGCCTGTTCTAACCTCATAGATTAGGAAAGCAAAATGAATGGGATTTCAAAGTTGTGCTTCCTCTCTAGTGGAATTTATTATTATTATTAATAATTTCTGTTTAATGACACCAAGGATTCCTAAAAAGCGCCCCTAGGGACTGTAGCTCACAAGCCTGAAGAAACCTGTAGAGAGGAGACAATGAGAAGCAGTTACAGTTTTAGAGGTGGGAGGAAAATCCCAGAGGAATATTCTGAGTGAAACTCATGGAATCAGGTAGGGACTGGAAACCCAATCCACGTGTGGACCTGGCCGGGATTCGAACCCGAACCACATGTGGATTGGGTTTTCCGTCCCTACCTGATTCCGTGGGTTTTACCAAGAATTTTCCTGTGGAATGCTGCCAAGGGTTTAGTTTGGCACTCATGACTATTTTAAATGTTGCATCAGCAAGGTCGATATGGTCCAGAGACCACACTTGAGGAAATAGACAGCATTTCAGATAAGTTTAGTAGCATGCATGTTTTTCCTCAGGGACCAACGACTGGGCGAAGGAGACCCTGAAGGTGCATGCCAAGGATAAGAGGGAGTATGTCTACAGCAAGGAACAGCTAGAGAAGGCCAGGACGCATGATGACTTGTGGAACGCAGCCCAGGTATTGCACAGTAATTCAAACTGGATCCTATTAACCCAAAATGCACCTGCTCGTTACAACCTCAAGTATCACGGTCATTTGCTGGGTCGTTGTCCTTGGTCATTGTCTACCCAGGGGTGTGTAGATTCTGTTCATTTTGTAGGAACTGGAAGCTGACAGTGTGCAGCTTGTAAATTAGGAATTTTGAAATTGCAAAATGTAGCCTGACTGACCGGTCACTTTCTTGGACCAGGTCCAGCTTGTCAAGGAAGCCAAGATGCACGGCTTCTTGAGGATGTACTGGGCCAAGAAGATTTTGGAATGGACTCCGTCCCCAGAGGATGCTCTGGAGATAGCCATCTATCTCAATGACAAATACAGCCTGGATGGCCGAGATCCCAACGGATATGTGGGTAAGTGAAGGAATTTAGGTTTCCAATGTTCATTTCCCTCACTCTAGGCTTGGAAATAAAAACAGGTGTCTCCCACACCGTTAAACCCACTGATCCGAGATCAAGAGAGTTTGTTTGACCAATGTGTAGGGTATTCAAGATCACATGTCCACAGGATTGTTGACGATTTCATCAGAAGGTACTCGCTCAGCTAGTCAGAAAGGCAGTTTGAAAATGGCATTGAACTCAGCCAATTCTGTAATTTGAAAATAAAGGTTCTTTGACAGATGGCACAAAAGGCATGTATCACCTTTATCATATGGAGGAAGGTCTTATTGTAATCACACTACCCTTTGTCACGATTTAAATTATCAAGCTTTTAATATTTTGGTGATGAACAGGTTGTATGTGGTCCATCTGTGGCATCCATGATCAGGGCTGGGCAGAGAGACCTGTCTTTGGCAAGATCCGCTACATGAACTACAACGGTTGCAAGCGTAAGTTTGACGTCGCCCAGTTTGTACGCAAGTACAAGCAGAAGTTGTGATGCCCTTTACTGCAAAGGACAGTCAGCAGGCCATCAAGAAGAAACACCGACCTCGTGCTTCTGTTTAGATTTGCATGCATCATTGTAAAAGGGGATTTGATGTGTGTTGTGGGTTTTTGTTCACAAGTAACCCCCAAAGTTTGAAATATCATTGACAGCGTGAAACAAATCTGTGGTATGCCGTGATTCTAAAGGCCATAATGCATGGTGCATGTGGGTCAGCTAGATATTACGTTTCTCTATTTATGGGACCATTTTCAGGAACTGTATTAGATTTTAAGTGTCCACGTCATTCGTGTGATATATGTGGGCTTTTTTTGAGTCGGTAAGCAGCGTTCGAAAAAAAAAAGTTTATCTTTCATACTCAACTTTTTATCTATCTGTACCTTTTTTAATCAACTCTTTTTTCTGTGTAAAAGTTTCTTATTAGATAGTGATATTTGTAGTATAATAGGATTTAGTGGTTACAGTGATGGTTTAGGTCTGCAAAATTTACTGGCTTGTATGGTGTTTGCTAGAAGTAATGTTGGCTACAGGCGTATGCCTCAGTAAAATCAGAGAAATATGGAAGGGCTGCATAGCAGCGTGATCAGAATATCGACAAGAATATAAGATTAAATCAGTGCTCTGAAATGTGCGATTGGCGAGCTTTCGGAAACTGAGTAACTTCTTCAGGGCAAGCAGATTCAGTTCGGTTCAGTTCATCAGGCAATCACATATTTCAGAGCCCTGATTTGATATTATATTCTTGTTGATATGCCTCAGTAAAGAACTAGAATTTAAATGAGTTATATCCTCTTGACAATACCAGGATGCATGCAGTGTTGAGTTATTTTTCTTTTCTGTATTTATACTTAACATGTCCTTCCGTATTACAACATTAACACACTTTCACAGGTATCGCAGACTCAGTATTTCTCTTTGTGTCCATATTTATTTTTTTATTTGGGTATTAGGCAAAAATATTTCACAGATAACGGCCAGGAATATTATTCACATCAGAACTCATCAAATCTATTTAGCATTTGATCTGTACACTACAACATTGTAGTTGCTACGTTCCAGTTCAACAAAGTGTTCCACTAAACCTGTTCAAAAGCATCTCTCTTAATGCCCATCGAAGATGGAAAATAAAGATCCTTTTTTTAATAGCAATTAAACAAAATAAGCCGTACAAACTTTGTGTTTTCCAACAGTTTGAATAAATCAAATAAGATATATTCCCAGCCAATTCACTCATCAAGCACTACCTATTACAACATGATGGTTCGCCAAAGCTGTACATGTAATGAAGTATACACAAAAGTGCTTTCATGGCTAACTAAATATTATCAAAATTCAAACAAGTATTATGTGACCCCATTCAAATGCACAAGTAAACCTGGAAACAGACTTGAAGCAAGATTTGTGGCTTTGTTTGGGGGCAAACTGGAGAGAGTTTATGGTTTACCCAAAATATAATATAGAGAAGGCACAATAAAAATCATGACATCAACAAAAATAGAAGCAGTTGTCTGGGTCACAATCGTGGCTGGACACTGTCAAGCTACAATTGTGACCCAGACACTTTACAACTCCCCATAGGCCAAATTCAAGTTATCCCAACCCTGAATTTGGTCACAGATGGACACCTTCAAGCCCAAGCCCCAAGTCATACCAGTAATTAAAGGAATGAAATGGCTTGCACCACTGTGGATCTCACATATTTAAAGATTTGCACTAGAAAGTCTTTAACAAAATGCCAAATGAGACGACTTTGGCTACACCTAAGTAGAGTGCTAAAACAACTGTACAAAAAATGCAAATCTGCCCATTACGATGGTTAGCTTTAATGTAATATTTTTTCAATCCAACTTGTCACATCGCCATTACTGATCAATCCTAAAAACAGTAGCAGTGTTTTTTTTTTCCATATTCTCCTACACAAGACACATCTCTTTTTCCAAGCAATGACCAAGTTACACAAACAGTTTGGGTTACAACCAAAAACTACTTTCAATTGCAAAAATGGCCCGGTACAAAGATTCAAAGAAGTTGGGCTCTGGAGTTGGTTTCTCTGATTAAAATTCACCGATACCCACAAAAAGAGAAGTTTCCTGAACAAAGAAAACAGCCACTGTGTGCTGTAAAGGCTTGGTACGTGTACATTGTAGCTTGCCTCTCATCATGTCCGGACAAGTAAAAACCAAGTCAGTTCCAACAGAAGAACTAAAAACACCATAAGTGTCAACAATTTAAGTAAATCAAACTGCTTAGGTGCAAATTAATTCTGATAACGCAGCCTTGATTTTTAGTTTGGTCACACACATCAGAACAGTTCCAATTTATGAGTTACAAGCACTGAAGCCATGATATATATGAAATTGTACTTTCTAATGTACATGTATAAACTTAAAAACTGAATTACATATGTACTTACAGTTTCAGTCTTGCTTTTTACTGAATTTACACTCACAGCAATACTGTTGAAAGATTTTGATTGTCTGAAAATGCATAATATGCTCACAGTTTTGTAGTGGAAAATGAGGCCCTTGTGACAATTTTCAAACCCTCTAGTGTGTATTAAAGATTGGAGAAACTAAGTTTTAAAAAGCCTTCATGGTAAAAAAAATCATTCTAGTCATACACTAGTGTTCAACAAAGCATTGCTTTTTATCTGTTATTGCCATTTTAAGGGTTTGTCTATCAACTTGTGACTTTATCTAAATTTCCATATTCACGAGGGTGAGGTCATGACCAATTGGACATGCACACAAAAACAGCAATGAACTGAACAGCAATCTAAAGGCTGTGCACGGCAGCCATCTTTACCGGAACTGCTTTTGTTGCGGAGGGATAGCACAAAAGGTCTACTCATGTGTATGCATGTCAAATAAAAGCTCTTACTGCACTAATGGCAACCACGCACAACCTCTATGGGCTAAACTCCTGACAGTTAAGGAGAATCCTTACACTGTACACGAAACGCCTAAATCGATGTCAAAGCAGTAGTGTTCACAAGTACAGGGTCCAAATAATGCACAGATTTAATAGCCAATCTTCTGCTGAGAGAGCCTCTGTCAACTTCACAGAGACTATTAAGCAGTGAGCTCAGCAAAAGCAAGCTTAACATCGGAGGAAAAACTCTTCCAGAAGTGAAATAACAAACAGATCTCTACAAAAGTAACACCAAGGGCATCAGGGATAAGAACTCAAAGTGAAGAGCTTGAAAGGAGCTTTTTTTTTACAGGTTTCTGAGGTATACTTTCCACTTAACTTTCCTTGGAGATTTTTAGTAATAGGTAATTTTAATAATTCTCTAAACCTGAATTTACCAAACACACATGTATGTGTGCTTTATAGGACAACACCACTCATGTATGGTCAACCTGTTTGACTGCATGTATTTGCACCTGTAACCCACCTATACACATGTACACCAACCAAAGTATTCATCTGGAAACTTGTTTCATGATTGACAGGCCACATGCTCAACCTGGCTCACAGACAAACAGCATTTTGAACAGCAAGTACAGTCACACAGTGGGGAAACCCGTTCTGTAATGCTTGCAAGTCAGAATATTTTCTGCAGTTCTTGAAAAGAAAAGTTGAACATCCCAAGCCTGTCTCTGACACACTTCTAAACATTTTTGCAGAGTATACAAATTGTTTTCCTTATCAAGAGCACTATGTACATGTACTACATACGAAGTAACAATTCTTTCCAAACAAACAATGATTATTTTTCAATCTCTGTATACAAATAAGGACCCAGTTCTTGGACATACTTGACTTATGGATGGTAAATGCACTTTTTCTGAAACCAGCATCACTGCTGTTAGCTTAGGCCCACATGTTTGCAAACCGGTGGCAACACTTCATGAAGAGAAGAACTTCCACTTAAAGTACACGTGTATACTATGGAGAAATGACAAGCATACCCTGGAGTACATATCAATGTACAAATCATTAATATACATGTATTGATCATGAATATACACGTCAGATCATGAATATGCATGTATCAATTGCTACATGATGTCACAACAGATTTCCAGCTCTCTACTCATTTAATGTGCCTCAGAACAATCCATGAATCCAACAGCAGTTGAGTCCATTTTCCAAGTCCAACAGTTACTTACAAGACAGTGCCTCCAGGCAGAAAGATGGCAGTGCGTTTTGCCAACTTTGGCTTTAGATCATTGGATGGGATTCTGAGCATGTCAACCATCTTGTATTTAAGTAAACTTTGATATTTGGAATAGGGGTCAAATACGCAACAAACCAAAACTCTATTTGTATTGCTAGTTGCTAAATTTGTCAGAAATAAGAACCACTCCCCCAAAAAGCTGTCTGGGTGACTGGCTAACGTTGCATTTAGTTAGAACAGTTATTAAGAAGAGTTGTCAGGGGCAATCAATGAGAGATGCTACCATCACGAGTAATGCCACCGGTTGTCTGTCGGAGGTGGAGGAGAGGGGCAGGTGTTCTATCTTGTGGGTGGAAAAACTGGCCCTCACCGTTGCTGAAAAGCGTGGATCAACTCAAATATGAGCACTGGTGAAATACAAGAAAATGTTTCATTAGACAAATAATAATAAAATATTAAATAACAATTCTTCTCACAGCTTCACAAAATTCTTGTAATGTGTAGTAGATTACAAGGAAGACCCTGTATGCGTCAGAAAGGATCATTTGTTGAAGTCCTGCACCTAGTTCTTTTTTAACACCGAGTGCCGAAAAGTGGAATTATCAGAGTGATTAACCTCTTAAACTCCACAATTTGGGAGTCAAAAAAACTGAAAGGAAGGCAAGGCATGGATACGGAAAAAATGACAAACATGTTAGCCAATGAAAAAATACAAGAAGCCTCATGAATATGTAACAATCAAGCCCCCCTGACCTCTCCACTCTTGTACGGACAAATCCTGTGGCTCAAAGGAGTCATCAAATCGTTCGCCAGTTGGTTCATCACTCTCATCGTGGTATTTGGAGACATAGGGATGTCTGAGTGCCTCTTCGGCCGTGATGCGCTTGTCCACGTCCAACTGAAGCATTCTTTCCAACAGATCCACGGCATGCTTGTTGGCCCCCGTAAAATACTCAGAAAAATTTATCTTCTTCTTCTTGGGCTGGGACTTGACAAAGTTCCGAGCCTGTGTGACGCAGACAATGTGAAGAAGGCTTGTGAAACTTGTATGCTATGAAGTCATTAACATGGCTTGTGCCCCCCCCCCCAAAAAATGGGTCACTGTTGGTTCACATTTGAGTGATTACACATGGTACCAATGAAAACAACTGGCAAGGCTTGGAAATTGCTACTTACGTCTTCACTCTGGATTTTAGCGAGAATTTCAGCGTCTGGTGTCCCAGTTACAGCCATGATGCGATTCAACTGATCAATATCTGAAATGTCAATTAAGAGGTAACATTTCTGAGGGAAGATCATCTCTTTTACCCAACTTAGCTTTTCCATGAGTAAGTCTAACAGCATTTGCCTTCTAATCAGTGGGGAACTTTGTGTGAATGTGTAAGATCGAATAATGGATTTCGTTGACTGTTGCGAAGTCAGTGAGAGTAAACTTCAGTTATGAGTACAAAATGACGGTCAATGTTTGTAAACAAAACAAAGGTTTATACTGTGCCAGTCTGCAGTAACACTCCAGCAGTATAAACTCAGCAAGCTGGCAGCAAACAAGGAGCTTGCTACTGGCTCACTTTCCTGTCACGGTTCTAGGCAAAGTTGGCCAGCAACAGGAACTAAAGGATACGATCTGTTCCGGGGAAGAGCGTTTTCCCAGTCAGCAGTTCTGCCATGATGCAGCCCACAGACCACATGTCCACCGTGTTGGTATAATGCATCCAGTTGAGCATGATCTCTGGTGCTCGGTACCATCTCGTTGCTACATAACCTGTCATCTCATCGTCTGCTTGACGAGCAAGTCCAAAGTCAAGTATCTGAACCCAATGCAGCAGGATAAAATGGAACAAGGAAACTCAAAACTTTACACTTTACAGTAAAAAATGTGGCAAAATAGAAGCACTAAATTTCTGCTGCAATGTCAAATATTTGTTGACCTTATCAATTCTTCACCGGCCAAACTTTTCACAGGTGCAAAACATCGTTTTGGAAAACAGCATTTACTGAATGAAGTTTTACAACTTCTGTTTCTCTTTTGAAGTATTCAGAATTCCACGGACCATCATTTTAGGAAGGGGGAGGGGATGGAATTATGATGACAGAACTGCAAATAGTATTCAAAACTCCTTCAATCTTTCATATACATGCATACTTGAGAACCCCCTAAATCTTAAAGCCACTATGGGTGTCAAGTAGTGCTGCAGCCGAACTGCTGAACCAAACAAAAAATTATCGAACCTGGCACTTTCGAACCGAACCAAACCACACCAAAATGGTCAGTCTGGATGTTCAGCTTTTTAATATGGCATGGCATTGATAGAATTGATGATGGAATGCACTATCAATGAAATGGAATGGAATGCATGCAAGAAAACTTGGCAAAAAGCAAACACAACAAAAAATGGATTAACGAGTGACACCCCACCGACACTCAGCACATGCGCAAGTACACATGTACTGTAAATGTACATGCGTCATGGCACGTACATGTACAGTAAACTTACAATGGCCTCGCATCATAGGATGGTTGTAAAAAGTAGTGGTGAGAATTCACCAACAATCAACGGAGAACATGCAACGTACAGCATTTCAGCTGCACAACGCTTCTAAATTCTCATAACAACGAAATGTGCTCATGTATAATTCAGATTTATCATTATGTTTGCCAATTTCCAATAGCCACGTCCTTCTGTATTGGGCCAATGATATCATAAATGGCCATGCAAAACAAATTTTGATTGGATGCTGATCACAGTCGAACTTGTGCTCGATCGAAGGCAACTCTGGAGGGAAAATTGACTTTGCTAGGCGGGCCGGCACGCGACAAGATTGGGTTCGCGTAGTGGCCTAACTTGCATTTTGTTTGATCATGTTTAATCAAACTGATAGTGTGAATATGTTGGAATGGAACTTTGCCAGATTTCTAAGTTGTTCACAAATCTCAAATAACAAAATGCCGTTATCCGTTTGAAAAAGACTGATGGAAAATTGCCCCTGGCCACGTGGGCGCCGACCTGGGAAAGAATGCCGACATGATACCAAGGTTCTTCTTTGAATACACCAAAGCCACGGTTTGGCAGTTGAATCTGCTTCATGAAAAATTACCAAAACACAAGTTGCTCGAAATCTAATTTGATCTTGTAATCTGTAACAGAGGAAACTCCCATTTGAGCATACTGTTTTTTCTGTTTTCACATAGCCTACGATCGTTTTGTTGAGTCAAGCGTGGTCCAAACACGACCGCTTTGGGTCGGCAAAACACACCACCTTGCTGTGGAATTTTAACAAACTTTGGGAGACAGTTCAGAAAAAATTATGTTCAAATTGAAGTTGCTTATGGATGGCGATGGTTCATAGTGAGCTCCTCGATGTCTCAATGTGCATTGTACATGTACATGTACAGGTACACTATACATGTACATGTACATACAGGTACATGTGTGTCCGAACCCGAACTGAATCGAAGTTCGACAAAAATTTCTGAACCATTTCCGAACTGAGGCACCTACATGTACTTGCAGCACTAGTGTCTAGTCCTGGCCACTTCTGGTTACAATAGTAACAAAAAGCTTCACATAATGTGTGATTCCCTTCGTGTATAACTACATGTACATATGAGTACTAGTACAAGAACTGTTACGGATGCTGAATGTAGTACATTAAGGGGATGAAAATTAAACTGGTGTTAACTTACCCTGAGTTCACAGTCTTCATTAACAGCCAGATTGCTGGGCTTCAAATCTCGATGGATCACACCTACAGAGTGGATATACTGTGAACCGAACAAGATGAAAGCATTGGCTAACAAAGAAGACATCCATGGACAAAATTGAAACGGACCATTATACCTGCACACGTGCAGACCAAGAAACGTACACTGTCATTTAATCTACTAACAGATAGGTTAAGGATTAAAATATAACTCAAGCTAACCCTCAAAGGTGGGCAAAAAAAATTCATGTAAAAAGGGACAATGTAGGACAGTTGGGTTGAACACATGCAATATGCAAGTTCCTTAGATATGATTTATTCCCCTTTCCAAGTTTAACAAAAATGTTGGTACCACACAGTCACAGATGGAACAGAGAAATGAATATAGTCTATGTAGATTGTAAATCAATAAATTTTTAAACAGCCAAATAACATTTAAGTGCACATGTACCTGGGTAATACATGTACACGTATTTCTCGTTTAGCAACAGTGTGCATGTAGATTAGGCATGGACATGCATCACTGCATTGCACATGATTGTTTTTAGCAGCTCAAGTGTGTGAAATGGAGGAACACGGCTTTTGAATACCAGTAAGGACACAATTATGTACAGACTTATGTACATGTTGCAGTTTATGTACATGCATATGACATACATTTTGATATGCAATGCATGCTGCACTATCTATGGCATATCACACAATCATGCCCCAGGAAACCAGACAGGATGTACATGTACAGGTATATGTAAGCAGACCATTCACACAATGAATTTACTACCCTGTCTACACTGTGACTACATGTACCCCGTCAGAAATGAATAAATTACCATTGCAGTTTGCCCAATGATGCTTTCAAATTCATCACTCTTCTGTTTTTGTATTGTTTTGTCTGCATTATGTACTAGCAATATTGCACCTGTAAGTCCATAATCACCTGTCAATGCTGACAGCTTGAATGTCCAGCATATCAAATTACATCATTTCACATTCAGTGTATTGATATTGTCTCCCATAACAGATGCAATGCAAGTTAATAAAACCTTGTGACTATAAATAGGCTACCAGTTTGCTGCTATATGCAATGATACCAGAACTCAAATCGGGCCTCGTTGGATTGTTAATTTTCAGGTTTTAATGAGACGTCACCATTATCTGGACCACTTGGTACTCCTTTTGAAAAAGTTTCTTTAGATTGTGCATATGCGTATCTGCTGCATTTAGACTCATTTAAAAGCAATGCCTCTTTCACCTTACAAATCTGACTCTATCAAAACTTTGTAAGGTGCTTAAAGATTCAGGACTGGGTAGCCAATCATGCAGCTGGATGTGCTTAATATTAATTTGTAAGAAACCCTGGCCCAAGGTTATTGCACAATGTTTACAACTGATAGGATTTAGGAAGTTTCCCTTTGAAAAAGCCTTGGAAATCAGATGTAAGTTGGGGTCAAGAAAAGCAATACACCGGTTTCTCTTTCCCATCAGCTTCCCTGGTTCCACCGAGCTCTTCTGGTACATTGTTCCATTTATTTTGTGGAATTTTAAAAATACCCCTGGACACATATTTTGACTTTGTTTAATGTACATGTAGGTATCTGTTTCTGACAATATAGCTACAATGCTAGTTTCGAACCCATTACACATAGATGGATGATTACAGACCACTCCTTTAATTAACATGCAAAAACATAAACAACAGATTCCAGAAAATCCCTCCTCCATCTTGGTAAAATACTTCTCCATTTATAAAATCCCTGATGAGAAATTTTTTATTTCTTACATACATAGCCCTGTATGCATATTATGTGTATACTGTGACAACATTGCACTAAAATCAAGCATTTAAACAACACATGTCACTTTTGAGCACACCCACCTTGAGCCCTCGTAAGATCTGATAGACAAGAAACTGCACGTGCTCATCAGAAAGTCGCTGTGATTTGGTGATTCCGTTGAGATCAGCTCCCATGAGATGCGTCACCATGTATACATCGCGGAAGGTCTCCAGTGAATCTCCGCGGCAAAACACGTCAAGTAAACTGATTATCTGATGGCATATGAAAGTCATCATCACCTTTATATGAAGTGCTCTTGCTAACCATTACATCCATCAGTTCCTGATGGTGCTACTAAACGTGGGAAAGCAAAGCTACTAAGACTTGAATTTATTTTCAAGAGCCTCAGCATAAAGCAATGTCTAATTTCTGCAACAAATAACGCTTCCAGAGAAATGGAAAGCATGAAACACTACAATAATAGGACACTTTCCTCAAGTTTGCTGATGAAAATCAGTGATAACATTAACAATTGCAGGTTCAAACTACTAGCAGAGAGATGGACCATCCATTAACACTTAATGACCAAGGCTAATAAAAGGTGGGTATAGTGAAATCATGGAAAAAATGGGCAGATACTGTTTAAAAAAAATGCTCAATGTTACATGCAGAGTATCACTACTGTTAAATCTTGGAATATTAATTTTCAATGAGTACATTTTCTTCAGCCTTTTTCAACATGTTAGAGCAAGAAATGTCAGTAAGCTTAAACTTACAATTTTCATAAGAAGATGAACTCTTGCCCCAAACCCTGTAGCGTAGTTCATGGAGAAAGGAATCCTCCATGACTAGTGTATAATGGAAAGTATTTGCGGCGTCCCCAATTTCAGTCGTATTCTTGAACGTATAAATTTGAAACCCTTAATGGGATGGTACCAGGCGATTTTGTGGGTTGCAGTGACATCGTAGAATATAGTCTGGTTCTTTGAAATTAACATTTTCAAATAAATACACTACATGTACATTGTGGAATATGACTGAAATGGGGTCCCCACGAATAGGGCCTATTAACCGATTACAAACTGTGCTCCACATTGACAGAGCTCTGTAGCCACACGCATTACAAGGTTTCATATATACACGTACACCGTACTTGAACAGCATAAAATAGAGCTCCTTCAAGCACACGAAATGCACCATCCATCAATCATGCTGTGTTTACAAGTCTTAATGCCAAACATATTTATTAATGTCCTTTCTCAAGCACAGCATGTAATGCATGAGAAGCCTCAGCAATGTGCACCATCCACATTGAAATAAAATCAAGTTACTGAGCAGTTGTGGACATCTGCTGTCTGGAATTTTAGGGGTGGCAGAGCGATGCCATCATGCCATTCAGTGTTCTTATTCAGTTCGACGGTCGGATTGTTTATGTCTAATGTAGCAGGCGTGAAAGAATTGGAGGGGAATGTATATTACACATGTAAAACATTTGGTCGTAGACATTTATTACGCATGTGAACAATGCAAACTGCATTAGGTGATGTAAAATCAAATGTAATCTATCTTGGAAGAAAGCCCATTAGGTTGGGTTAATTTATTAGTGTTGCGCACTGTCAGGTTGAATATTAACAAAATAAATTGATAGTCCTTGATGGGATTCATCATGCAAGTTACATGTGAGCCTACACGTACATGTATATCAGCTGAATCCTGATGTACTGCCTTCCAGAGCCATCATGTGAGCTCAGAGTTTGCAGCTAAGCAAGTCATTTCTCAATTAATTTTCAGTTTTGAAAAAATTGTTTTGAAAATAACAGTTCCGCTTTTTCTCCATTAGTGAAACACATGCATTTTGCAAATTCCCTGAAATTCATGACAACAAATTCAGCAAACTGACAATAGATTCTCTAATCGAAACATATAAATTACTATCTGAACCCCCCACCCTGTGGGAAATGGTCAAGAGATTGAATTATTGTAAAAATAAACAATGACCTACCCCCACATGAACATGTACATGTGTAGAAATGCCCTCTTTGTTTTGATATGATAGCTTTGTTGGTACATGTATGTGCACTTCCACGGCCTGGGGCTTAAGTACTACTTCAATTTAAAAGCAAACCAACTACATGCACATGTACTACCATACATGGAGCTGGGAACCAGTCTAAAGTAATCAAACTTTCTGATGTACTTGAAGTTGAGGAGGTTTCTCCTGCTGGTAACATGTGGCACAAATTGCACCATGGGCTTGCTTCAAGTTTAGTTGGCTATTGGTTCAGGGCAGAGCTGAGCACTCTTCTTGCACAAGGGTCCAGGAATCTAGCTGTCAGTTGCCAATTGGCGTACATTTACAACTTTTAGCTGTGGTCCTAAAGGGTGCAGACCACTAATTCAAATGAGAATTTTTGGCCAGCTCATTAGCATTAAAAGTGCCCCCACAGTATCTTTTGAAAAAGGAGATTGTTTGGCCCCCAAAATGGTGAGATTGTGTAAATTGTTGCCGGGATCAACTCCCTGGGTCTTTGAGCTTTCATATGAAAGCAGAAGGGCTAAAACTACGGTTGAAAAATGGTCCTAAGTGCCCGAGAAAGTTGAGGGTTGCCACTTGAAAAATGGCTGCAATTGGACTTTGGAAAAATCACTTTTCGGGGGGTGATTTTGTTTAGTGGGAATACTTAAAAATGTAAGTGGTTAACTCACAAAAAATTGAAAAGAAATTGAAAGATTAGGGACTAGACAACAATTTCCTTTGTGTTTCTGAAATCTCAGGGATCTTGGTATGCATGTTATTGGAACAACACTGATTTTACACTATTTTCAATGGGACTTGAGTTAGTGGACTGCATCCTTTGCTGTTCCAAAATGACCTTGGATACAGTTCAATCTGTACTGTTGAAATACCAAACTGGCTTTTTTGCAAGAGAAAAAAAGAAAGCCTCTACTCAGCACTGCACTGCAAAAAGTAATAACAGTGGCTGCAAAACTGTACCTTCAGCTAAAACTTTGACTACTGTTTACAATTTACCAGCTGGAACCGTGGGTTTAACTTGTGTCAAAGTACCCTCGCTAGACTCATGTGAGTCAGACACACATGTACATACAAAGCCCTTTAATGCTGGAGTGAGCTAACACGCATGTAAAAGTATACTCACATTCTCATGGTCCATGTGTTGAAGCAATCGCAACTCTCGGTAAGTCCTCTTGGCATGTATTGCAGACTGGAACGGACGAGAAAGCTTCTTAATGGCAACGCTAGTGCCGGTCTTGGTGTCGAGGGCCGAGCTGTGAAAGAAGAAGGATCAACATGACAGTGACATCAAAGAAAGGTTCCCATGTATCCAAAGCTGTTCTACGTGTTTTCTGTCGGTGCTTCCAAGATGTCGTTTGCCATTTTCTCTGGACGAGTTCCATATTCCTATAATATGTTGCATAATAGCAGGAAGTCAGATAAGCAGGGGGTCTTTTTTTATGTCTGATCAAAGAAAATGTGCAGGTCCATATCTTTCGGTCTTGGCAGTCAAGATGTACAGTTTAAATATGGGAACCTTGAACCAAGTGAGATAAATACAAGTACCCTCCACTGATATATGTAGGTACACATGAAGTAAACCTTCATCACACATTGTCCTTAAATGTACATTAATTTAATGTACAGGTAGTACACCACACAAAAAGGCGAAAAAAGAACGACAGCCTGAATTAGGTGAACTGGGCTGTCAATGGCACCCTTTATGACAAGATAAGTTGGAAGAATCACCCTAGCAGCTGTCAATGGAGTGATGAACATAACCATGCTTTCCCAGTTTATCATTTTTCAAAATTGGTGACTATAGTATGACAAGGAATTTGATGCATTTGTCTGAGCACTGTCGGGACACAAAAAAATGTATATGTAGTACCTTATCTGGAAATCTCACTTACCTTGTAACCGTCCAGATTCACTTACATGTATTCTACTGGTAACCTCATCATTCAAGTTTGAAAATTGGGCTTTTGAGGGGAAAATAGAATTCTAACAGTTTTGCTTTTTAAATCTGTGAGTTTAATTGTTAACCGGCTATTCTTGAATAGGAATTACAATTACAGCAAGAGCAAATATGAGGCAATCTGAAAATGCAGCCAATTAAATACCTCGTCCTTGAATCAAAAATTCCCTCACAAAATAAAAAGAAAGCACAAACAAATAAGAAAACAGTGGCTAATGAATCAGAAAATCAAACAAACAACCTTATAGCTTCACTGTTTAAATGTACGGTATGTACATGTACATGTAGTCTGGGTTTCTCGCCAACCAAACTTGTTCCCACAATAAATTTCTTTACAAAGAACGTGTTGTTGCTAAGGCACACAGAAATGTAATGAATCAATCATGATGACCTGGCAAGCATGAAAATGAAAGTATTCAATCGACCGTGTGCTCATTTCAATGCACCTGTAGTTTGTTTTGCAAGCAGGATGGCGAGTGCAGTGTGACCAGAACTGCGGGTCTGTTTCTGGAAATAAAAAACACCACCAATGCAGGGTAACACTGCAACATGTCCAGGTTTCGGCAGGGGTCCTTGGCACACACATACAGCACTAGAACCAGTAACTGGAGTATTGTATGTCTTTATGTTGTCTTGCTTTTGACTAGTGTGACTATCAAAGTCAAAAAACAACAACAAAACCGGCACAGGTTATATGGCCCATTACTGGATTCAACACAATCATGACAACTAAAAATATCATTTCGTCAATGATAGTGATGGTGAGTTAGAGTAAATAGTAAAAGGAAAAAATTAATACCGGTGTGTAAGGGATTAATCAGATATAAGTATGGCGACCTGATTAAACAATGTATTGACAATACATGTAACACTAACAGGTGAGCTCTGTCCAGTCATGCCAGGTTGTTGACAATACATGTAACACTAACAAGTGAGCTCTGTCCAGTCATGCCAGGTTGTTGTCTAATATACAGGTGTACTGTATGCACTTTTTGAGCACCAAGTTCACTGCCAAATATTGGCCTTGTTAGGAAGGAAGAAAATTTAACCTTGAGCAAATATTCATCATGTTCATCAATCTTAACACCTCTAGTTTGGGTAAATTTTGACAATATTTAAGTAAAAATTAAAAACCACAATTTTCACCTTTTGAAGAACAACCACTGCTCAGTCAGGTCAGGCCACTTTGTTTCATGTCTGGTTTACAGACAGCCTTTGTGAATATACTAAGATTTCATCCAGGTCAAGGAACCAGACTACATTCACTAATTTGTCTTTGCTCAAGCCTCTTCAATGCATCATGAACACTGCCGTTTTGACCCATATTTTCCCTCAGAAACCAAAACCCAGTCCTCTTTTCACTCACACAATCTTTCTGATATGAAAGAGGACAGCACTACCAACTTGTATGGAAGTGAGTTGTTTCATAAAGGTAGACTTTATTTCCTTGTAATAGGAACAGTGTGCTATGCTAAAGATAAGGAACATCCCCCAAAATACATCTTAAACACTCCCCCCCCCATTTATAAACAGTGATGGTCTGAAGTCATCATCTTGTAATCTTACCTTTTTGTGCATTAAGGCCGAACATTTATAGGCCTATTAATCACCCAGCACTGACAATGTTCAGTAACTTCAGATGTCCTTCAGCTTGTTCCACCTTAAACCAATTAAATATCTGGCAGAGAATTTGGTACTCGAAAAGTAGTCGACTAAAGATGACAACACGACATTCATTACTTCCATCACTAAACTCATCACCACTTTACTAGACGATCCATGTTCAGATGACCCCTATGTTTCTTCGCGTACTAAGCTTGCTGCTAGTACAGTTAGGCATGAAGGCCCCGTAACTATGGAACTCAATGGATTTCTCGTTAAAAAAATATTTGCAGTCTATCCTTATCCATACGCAAATATAAAAAATCACTTACTGAATAATCACCTGTAAATTAACCATTCATTAATGGGTTTTACTGATTATGTTCCATCCTTTGTAATTTCTGTTATGTTTAAATGTACTTTTATTATTTGTTTGTAAAGGTGTACGTCACTACGTGTATGGTGTGTTTGTACTTTTTAAAAAATTTGTACATGTAGTTGTTATTTTAACTTAATTTCCAGGGCCACTACTAAAACTTTTAGAGGCCCCATCCACATTTACTGCTGTAGATCTGTGATATTTACTGCATCGTTATGTGGAAAAATAAGCAAGATTGATTGATTGAAGATTGAACACGGGTTCTATAAACAACAACCACGCGACTGTTGGGGCGACGCCTCAGCCTGCACAGAACACGTCAGGTTGAAGGTTGGGGGATTGTAAATTTGGGGACCCTTTTCCAGTATAACATAGAAGGGAGAGTTACATTTTAACTTTTGAATTGACTGCACAATTTACAATTTGAAATTTCCAAAAAATAGGGTCAGCGCAATAAAGAGAGTGTTGCCTTTCTTTGGTGGAGGGGGACTTACCAGTTTCGCAATATTAAAATGTAAAAAAACATGGGGCCCCAAGTATACATGTACAATCCCTGAAGGTTGAAGGGAAAATTTGGCAGTAGTGTCGGAAATACACGGTTTCTTAAATACTCACCACACAGATCCATAGGCTCCTGCGCCTACAGCCGATAGTCTCTGGTAACGGAGAGGTACTTCCCACGTCGTTTTATTTAGATCAAACCGATGATACCCGCCTGGCAGTAAATCTCCCATTACCGGAGCATCCATGGTTTTGGATACTTGAGAAAAAGTCCAATTCTGCGACCACAAACCTTTATTTTCAACTATGCATTCGGCCCTCGATTCAAGCACTTGACAGAGATTTGGGCGTAAAGCGAACAGTAACGCACGCTCGACATTCGGTGATACGGCTGGCGGGTCGCAGCTTAATCCGTGCCCTACATACGTCCATGCCCAGCCAATAACGTGCGTACATTAATATTCTAGTACGTGATCCGCATACGGTCGCACGTATGCACTACGTATCGTACCTAGGTAAACTCGAAAACAGGCTTCCCTCGCAATTATCGCATATCCGGGAAATGCGCACAAACGAAATTTTATCATTCATCTTCAACCCCATGGCATTATCATTCCAAATTTTAAGAGTTAAATTAGCAGTATATGTAGCATAATTTTAGGTTTTCTTTGCTATACTTTGAACTTTTAACAAAAGGCCAAAGGTTGCCAACTCTTTGTAGGCGCAAGTGCACAGTGGACTTGATGAATGTTTAGCTTTTAAGTGCAGCGCCCTCTGTCATCTCGACAAGGGAAATTTAACCTAAATGGCGCTCCAGCTTCATTCATGTCATTTAACTTTAAACTAAAGGCACGTGGAAAAAAATCGGGCTAACCTTTTCAGACCTTCTTCTTCTAAACAGCGGGGAGTGACACAATGGAATAATATTGCCAAAGTGACATCAACTTTAACAGGCATAACAACAACTCTGACTTAATGTCTAAAATGTGATCTGAACAGGACGAGTGATGCAGTCAAGAGGTACATCTGCAGAGGTTTTGCCAGCAGTTCTGGTGCGGAGATCTTCGTGTTCGTTGTTTAGAAGGCCAATATTCAAATAAGATAGTGTTGGAGTCGAGTATGCAAATCTGAGTATTCTGAGTACTTTAGGGGCCGAGTCCCAGGTCAAGTACAAATACACTGGTGACCAGTCCAAGTCCAACATGTCCAAAACACTGAGTATGAGTAAGCCTACATTCGCTGAGTCGAGATGGGGCCAAGTCCGAGTCCTAGTTGGAGTACATGTACAGTACACAGAAGGTAAGCAAACAAATGAAATACTCAAGCGAACGCATCTTCGGTTAAAACAAACACATGCAACAATTGCCTTCAGTTTACTGAGTACATGTTGGTAATACTGTGGACACTTATTTGTGTAAAAATGTTTACATAGTGACAAATCAATGAATTCTCTGGCAGTTTTTGTTCGTCACCCAGTGCCTGAAATTCGAAAACGCTATCAATAAAATATGAAGTACTCGAAATGTCAAATTTTTCTCGAGTACTAGGGTTGAGTACTAAATAACAAGGGGTCAAGTTTGCCCAAGATCCAAGTACGAGTACTCCAACACTGGGTATGCAGGGTAAGATCAAGATGTGAATTGTAGGAAAGGGCTACCCCTAGAATTGTGTGCATGGTGCGGTGGGGTTCGCCATCGGCTCACTATGCTACCCACGTACCCCACAGTTCTGGAGGGTAGTCTTTGCTTTGTGCATTAAACCCCAGATAGCTAGCTGGGCCTAGCGTCCAATGCCAACATTCGTCGGCTTTGTACCTTTGTAGATCAGTTAAATATTTTGGCAGAGAATTTGGTAGGCCCCTACTCGAAAAGTGCTCGGGTAGAATTCCATGTACGGACGCCGCTTATTAAACACCCAGTACCCAGTGCACAAATCCTATGGGACTGGTCTGAAAAATTCTGTTTTCCAAGTCGGAATAAACCTTAAACTACTTGTTTTTTCCCTCCTAAATTTAACTTTTCTGGACATGTTTTTGCTTTCTGACGGCTAACAGGTCACTGTAGGGAATAATTACTGGCGTCCATGTATCATATTTTCCCAAGTACTCAACTAGGATTAGAAAAAACACTGACTCTATAAACACAAGCCACGCCTTTTTATGGAGCGGAGCCTCAGCACGCCTTCGGCGGTTAATGTCGGAAATACACGGTTTCTGAAATACTCACCACACGGATCCATAGGCTCCCGCACCTACAACCGACAGTCTCTGGTAACGGACAGGTACTTCCCACGTCACTTTATTCAAATCAAACCGATGATACCCGTCTGGCATTAAATCTCCCATTGCTGGAGCATTCATAATCGTGGATGCTTGAGAAAAAGTCCAATTCTGCCACCACAGACCTTTATTTTCAAGATGACATCCCCAACGTTTGACCCTCAATTCAAGCACTTGACAGGCGTAAAGCCAACAGTAGCGCACGCGAGACTTCCTGATACGACCGGCGTAACTTAATCCGTACTACGTACGTCCATATCAATTCAATACGTGCGTACATTCGATTCCCGGCCTAGTACGTTATCCGCATGTGGTCGCACGTGCGCTCTACGTATCGTACTTAGGTAAACTCGTAGCAGTCTTCCTTCATCATTATCGCATATCCGGGAAATACATTCAAACGAAATTTAATCATTTATCATCATTCCACGTTTGGGAGCTAAATGGGTAGTATATGTAACATGGTTTCAGGCCCTCTGTTTTATGCTTTGAAGTTGTTATAAAAAGCCAAGGTCACGGCCTCCTCTGAATGAAGAACTCGTAAGCGTAAGTACACAATGTACTTGATGCATACTTAGCATCTTACATTTAAGTGCAGCGCCCTCTGTCATATCATGTAGACGAGGGAAATGTGAAACAACATGGCGCTCTTCTCAAGGCACGTTGCTAAAACTCTTGCTAATCTTAACAGGAAAGGCCATGCAGTGAGTGACGTAGCAGCGTTCTGCAGATGTTTTGGCAGCAGTTCTGGTGCGGATGATCTTCGTGTTCGTTATTTAGAAGGTGACTACTCAGGTAAGATCAAGTGGTGAACAGGTGAAATTTCCTCGATGACCAGCATAGGCCTATACATCATTACATGTACATGACATAGGGCCTAACCTGAACATGCCGAATAAGAATTAAGATAAAAACATGAAAGAGGCTAGGCCTTAGTACTAATAATAGGATAGCATAGGCTTAATAAATTTTTGAATTATTTTTTTCTGTTTTATTTATCATGTTTATCTTGGAAAGGATGTGACAAATTTTTTTAAGATATAAATTTGGATTCCATCAGGCACTGGAAAGCAAAGAAACATCGATTTGAAGTGGGGATGTTTTGAGATGTTTTTTGTCATGTTTCTACACTTGTAATGGCGCAGAGCAAGCAGTAATCATTCTGTAGTTGTACACGAAATGAGTGTGGATTTTAACTGAAAAGCTTAAAATTTATGTTTTTGTCAAATCTTTGTTCGTGTTTGTCATGTTTGTGCCTTATTTCAGTGAATCAAATCCCGGCTTTACTTCATATTTCAAAAATTTGAAATTGGAAATTGAATAGAGGAGCTACAGCGTGCAAAAGAAAAGAATTTTAATCACAGTTTCCTAATTAAGAAAATGAGTTTCCAAATAAACAGTGCCCTTGCTCATTTATTCATGACTGTCTCTAGATGAGATGACATGCGTAACAACCATGACCACTGACCATGATTATGATGACAGTGACAGCAGGCGGCGGCAAGATGATTGCCCATCCATAACAAATAGGCCATTGATATGCATGGCCTGTTTGAAAAGCTTGGCACATTGTTGGGCAGTGGCTGGGGTAATAGCCCATGGATATGATAGACATGATAGTATAGATCTAGGCCTACATGTACCGCCCCAACAAACTTCTTCGGCATGCTCAGCATTACATCTGTTGAGCGCAATCCTTGAATTGCACAAATTCAAAATTTGCACGCAAGTTTAAAATTTGCACAACCATAGATATTGCCAAAGACAAACAGCATAAAAATTGCATGGAAACATGAACCACAAGCAACAGTCATACATGTATGTAAGAGATTGACATCAAATGCCCATTTTGCACAACTTTGTATTTGTATGGTCCATTTTGGTCCTGAAGTGCGTGTCGTGTGTAAAGCGTGGCTCATGGGGCTGGAGCAAGGTAGTCACGCCGGCCGGCTGCGACATGTGTGACGAAATTTTGCCATTGCAGCATTTTGATGCATATTGCCTTGCGAGACAAACAAGGCAATATTTCCCTGTCGACATTAAAGTTTGACTTTACTTCCCTCTAAACAAAATACATATACCTGAGATTATTGTGTCAAAATTTTCTCCCGCTGTAGGAGTGGTGGTTCTTGCATTAAATCGGCCAGAGGCAAAGAATTCCTTCAGTCGAAATATTGTACAGTTGGTAAGTGATCGGCAGGCAATGGCAATATAGGATGATAAGAGACATTTTGGATAAAGCTGGAAATTCTATTTTCGGAAAAAAATGACTAAAGAGAATAAGCCGTTTTAACATTTGCAATGCATCATGGGATTGGATGACACAAACAAATGAACAGGTTTTGGGGGGATTTATAAAATCAGTGTACCTGAAAAACATTACATGTAGTTAGGATCACATACTCAAAAATCAAGCCCATCTCTTGTCATATAATGTAGCATTGAAGATTCGATTTGGAATAAAATGTAAATGTACATGTATTTATAAAACTGAAATTTCACAGCTTACCAAAACCACTCTAGAATCTCATGCCATACTTTGAAACTGTGCCTCATGCTTTCGTTTGGTTTCCACACGATGTTGTCAAATGTTTGTTTTGCATTCCATATGTCAACAAACTTTAGGACTTTTTCATTTTCTAGGCTGTGCTCAGCGTGTTGCTCAGTTATTGTTACTGTATTTTGTTTATTCCAAAGCTTAAAGAAA